CTCTTCTCCACCTGTCCCCTTCACTTATCTCCTTCATCTCCCTGTGCTGAGAGTCTGCTCATCTCAAGTACCTAATGTTAGTGCCTAGAAAGAACTGTGGAAGTTTTAGAACAAATTAAGTAAACTGTGCATTTGTCCATACAGACACATATGAATGAAGGGTATTTTGTATTTATTGGTATAAAATGGCATAATTCAATATAAATGTACGTAAATAGGTGAAAAAAGAAAAGGCAAGAAAACAGGCATACTGAATGCAAGAGACTAGGGAAGGAGAGCAGAAAGAAAAAAGAGGAAGCACTATCCTGTAAACATTCTTCTGTGAGGAATCCTTAAGTTTTCTGTCCTCTTTCTCAACGAGGTAATAGGCAACCAGAGGCAATCTGACTGGAAACCATGCCATTTCCTCACCTATTATTTTTCATCTGTCAGAAACACATGAGGAATTCACTTAGTTGGCTGGGAGTCTTAAACCTCTTAGCTGAGACAAGGGGAATCTCAGTTGCCTTGTAGACTGGATGGTATGTACTCCTGACCATGGGAATGAAACATAATGTTGGAGGGTGATTACTGTCAGTAACTGCATTTCACTCTTAAGTGACAAAACCCCTGAGCTTTGGGACTTTTCTGAGTTGTGCAGAAGCTCTTGCACAGATCAGTGAGCGCAGGGCCACTCTGCGTGTGAGAGAACCAGTTTTCTAATTGTAGAAATTGCATTACTATGCAATGAAGAGAGAGTCAGTCACTCAGATTTCTCCTTAAAGGGATAGTCTTTGGTTAAAACAAGAGTTAATGATGTCATCTTCAATAAGCAAAGTACTGGACAAATATATATTTATACATATACCATGTGACTGTATGTATGTTATTCTTGGCTAAGCTTGCTTATGATTTGAATCAAAATATTATGATAGATTTTTCTATGAGATGACAACCCAGATAATTTTGCATTACACTGTATGCTGGGAAACACAATCTATTTATCCAAATTGACAATATAGTCTTAATCTTAGTCATTTCTTAATAATGTCATGGTTATAGAGCATACTTCCCCCCAAAATTCCTAAGTGCACCCAACACTATTAAAACCATAATTTACAAGCGATAAGCCAAAATCTGCACGGCGGGGTGTTGTCCAAGCCCTTCCCAAACACATTCATAGATGACCAGAGCACTGAGCCCACTGCTGGGTCAGGAGACGCATGCACATAAATACGCAGCCCACGCTGTTTGGTCTTGCTGGAACTGCTGTCAATCACGCCTGCTGCACACCCAGCAGAGATGCTTTGCCATGGCTTTCTAGACAAGGAATTGCACAAGCCCCTTTCTCCATACAGCACAAAAAGCAGGAACTCTGGCTGCAGTTTCACTGTGGCACAACTATACTGACTTAGGCTGGAGGAATGATGATGAAACACAATCACCTTTCGCAAACAGCAGTAACTCTGTATTAACAGGCTAAACAGGTCATCCAGATGGAAGCATGTGGAAAAAAGGCAGGGGTTTTGGGGTGTTGGGTTGGTGTGAGTTCATTTTAAAGGGTCATAATGGGCTGTGGTGCGCAAGTATTGACAGGGAGCCCTCGTCCCATCCATTCGAGTTTTCAGAAAAGCACATTGTTCTACAGGTCTATTTGCTGATTCCCACTGAAGTGAATAGCCCTTCATTCCAGCGGGAATTTGTGCCGTCACTTCAAATGTTATGCATATACGTTAATTTCACACTGCTTCAGGACTTGGTTTTCAAATGACCAAAAGGGTTAAGAATGGAGAAGCAAATGCTTGCCAGATACCCCAGTCTAAATTAAGAGTAAGGGCTTTCTTTCCTCTGGGGTGCGGGGGGGCAGGAGAGAGGGAAGGAAGGGGAGGCGGGTGGACAATGGTCAGAAAGAGAGGGAAATATGGACCAGAAATAAAGTACAGTCTTTTTTGTTTCTACAGCTCAAAGATGCTTTTGAACAGGACTGCTGCCAACTGTGGAAAACCATCTTTTTATGGAAAAAATATGCCAGTAACAACGGATTTACAAGAACTGAGACAGTGTGTCCTATACACATCTATTCAATATCATGCAAGATTAATTGTTTGGAGCATCATGCCTTCAGGAGTGTTCTAAGCATTGGGGAGCCAAATTTAGCCTTGATATCATGAAGTCAAATTTCCTTTTGTATCACAAAATCCCCAGGATGCCTGATTACAACAGTGCTGAATCTGGCACTGGAAGATGTTACCTCCAGACTGGGCACAGTTCTGCTTAAATATGACAAACTGCATTTGCTTCCCTAGCCTGCATGAATCGATGTACATATTTTGGTACTGGACCTTCAAAACATTTTATTTTTAACAGACTTAATGCCTTTGGCTGTTTTGGAATGAGAATAAATGAAAATATTACAGCAGATGACAATTTGATTATAGTTGTCACAAGCAGGATTTTAAGGGTTGCACTCCCAATTACACTATGGCCCCATTATATTTCCTGCCCATCCTAAGAGGGACTTAAACTTGGTGTAAATGTAATTATGAGATGTAATTTGCTTTGTCTGTTAACTATAAAAGGGGGTTTATCTATACAGGACTCATCTATTCAGGGAAATGGAATAATTACATCCAATTAAAGTATTCTCCTGGAATGTCATATCTGCAAAGACATATCGGTATAAATTATCCTGCTACAATTATGCTTATCAATTTTCCTGTGTAAAAAGGCTCTTAGCCTAAATAAAAATTGGGCTCTAATGATTAATTATGGTATTTATCCAGGTTTATTGTCATAGTGGAATATATACCAATTTCATTCTGGTTTCCACTGAATCAGAATGGTGAAGAGCCTAACAACAAGGCAAAAGACCAGGCTTCAAAAGGATTAGAGTGGAAGAAAACCTCTTTCATTTTCCTTTAAGCAGTCATACAGATCTGTTTACACGCTTTTGGACAACATCCTGGGTACCACACAAGCAATCCCGAGTCGCAGTCCCAGAGCAAATTGGCACATGAACAGTTTTGTACTAGCTGATGATCAGACTATCAAAATGACATTGATTTCACAGAACTCTGAGAGTCCTCTCAGTTACACTGGTCTGCACAGCCAAATGTTGATGAACACTGAATGTCCATCACAGCTAGCATTTTGCCTCTAGTAACTCTTTGCCTGAATTCTGTGGCTTTTTTACCACAGTAACAAATTAATGAGGCCAGTTAATTGGCAAACTTTCAGTGTAGCTGAAGACTGGATGAACGTACTATTGTGAGCATCTGATAAACTTAAAATGCGTAGCTTTGACAGAAACTGCTGTTCATGTCCACCATTGAAGGACAGTATCAATTATTACACTGTACTGCAGAAAATGCGGGGCTTGTACGGGATCTGCTCCCAGTAGATGTCTCAGCAGCAGGTAGGGGATATACAGCTACTCAGTGTGCATCTGAAATGAAAAAGCACACCTAGCTTGTAAAGAAGCAAGACTCACAATTGTTTCAAGCTTCCTTATTTTGCTGTCAAACACCTGATTTGGGGGCTACATCCATTCACACTGTGCCCACACCACTGGCGTTCAGATCAGTGCTGAGACGCAGCATTTCCTAGAGGAGTCACATTTAATTCTGCGAGCTGGTTGCAGCTTGCTCTAATTCCAAGGCAACCCTTGGCTGGACTCCTCGGACCTTGGGCAAACGCACAAATCCCCTTTGCCTGGAGAGCAGCCACCTTGCCCTGCCGCCTCATTTACAGTAGAGCTCTGCCCGTGGCTGGGGTACCACCGCTCCCTCCGGAGCTGCTCTGCCCTCATGGATGACAGCCCTTACCCAGGGCAAAGCTATGTGCTGTGCCACAGCCAAGAATCCCCCCCCGCAGGCGTGAGCGTGACAGGAGCCCTCCCCGCTGCCCCTCGGGCCCCCGCTGCCAAGGCTGTGCAGGGCCATATTCGGTATTCCTCGGTGGTTTCTTTCTCCCACATGGTTTCAGACCCCCGAGCTCTGCCGGAGCATGCCTCGGGGTGCAGTTTTCTCTTGCGGTCCCTGGGGTGCGGGGGGGGTTGGGGAGCTCCGCACCTTCTCGCACCCGTGTGGCTGCTTTTCCCCTTCGGCTGCTGCGATGCCGACGGGATCCTGGCGGAGAGGTGCTGGGCCAGCACGGTACCACATCCCTCTCACGGGGGGGTGCCAGTGGGTGGTGTAAGCGAAGAGGGGACACGGACAGGAAAGTTTCCTGCCGGCAGCACCGCGGGAGTGAAGCTGAGCGCCCACTGCCAAGGGCCCGGCGGTCCCTTCAGCACAGGACCTCAAGGCCAAAGCGGCAGGAAATGGCCTGTCCCGCCACGGAGGGAGCCGCGCCGGCCGGCCCTGCTACGCCTCCGGGGGGTGGCTGAAAGCAACCCCGACCGCCTCCTCCCAGCCTGGCGGAGCGGGATACGGCCAGTCCCCCACCACACCGAGGGGTCCCGGCCCGGGGCAGGCCCTGCTGACCAGTCCCCAGGCCGCGAACTAACAGCGGCCCGGCTCGGGGTGATCCCTTTTGGGCCGCACAGCTCCCGCCGCCTCAGCGGGCCCCTCAGCCGGCAACTGCAGGACAGTGGCTGGGAGGACGCGTGGCGGAGGCTCCCCTTCCCGCAAGGGAGAAACGAACCGGGAGAGGCCGGGGACACTGCCCGGGAAGGCGGGGGACGCGAGGACAACACTGCGAGAGCGGGAGCCGGACGGTGAATCAGAGCGGGCCGCCGGGGAACGCGGCGCCCCCGACCACGCTCGGGGCGGTGGCGGGCGGGGCAGGAGCAGGGGGGCGGACCGGGACGTACCAACAGCCCCCCGGGGGAGGACACTGTAGCACCCACTCCCACCAGCTACCAGCTCCCCACGCGTTGCCAAGGGGACACCCCCTCTCCGCCCCGGTGCGCGGGCGCGTCTGCGGGTCCGCAGAGCTGGTCGGGAGGAGAGGGGGGGCGAGGAGAGGGGAGCTGCTCCGGGCCGTGTGGAAATGGGTGGGGGGAGTGGGGTAGAGGTAGAAGAGCGCGGAACACGCCTGCCTCCCCCCCCTGCCCGCGGCGGGGTGGTGTGGCCCGCCCTGAGGAGGGCGGGGACCGGCGTGCAGCGCCTCCCTGCTCAGTGACACACACACCCGGTGCGGGGAGGCGGCGGCGGCTGCTCGGGAAGCGGGCGGGCGTCGTAGCGGCGGCGGCTGAGAGCCCGAGCCCCGAGCATGGCAGGGGCCGAAGCCGCTGCGGAGGCTGCCGATGGTTTCCTCGTTTCGCCGGCTTCTCCCGCCCGCCGGGAACTTTCTGCAGCGGTCTGTGGCGGTGCCTTCCCGCGGTGGTGGTGGTGGTGGCAGCGGCGGCGGCAGCAACACCGGCGGCGGCTCCGCTCGGCGGTGCCTCCCGGGCCGGGGCTGGGGCTGCTGGGGCTGGTTTTCTCTCGCTTCTGCTGCAGTAAGTGAAACTTTTTTCTCTTGTCGGCCGGGGCAGGGCGAGGGGGAGGGTGGTGGAGGAGGAGGAGAGAAATCCGAGCCCAGGCACTGCCGGGGGACTCGGCCGAGTTGAGGGAAACTTTGTGTGCGCGCCCGGCGTGGTGCCGGACGCCCTGCGGACGGGGCAGACCGGCGGGTGGGACGTGGCCGGGAGCGCGGAAGCTTCCTCCGGAACGAGTGGAGAGGCTGCGGGAAGGTCGGAGCCGGAGCTTGCACCGTGCCGGGGAGACCCCAGGACTCTTTCTCCCCGAGATCCCCCTCCGATGGCGGCGCGGACACGCCTCGCTGCCGCAGGCGGCCTGGCCGGTGGGAGCGGGTCCGGGCAGGGAGGGCCGTTGTGTTCGCTGGCCGTTGCGGGGACCGTTACTCGCGCTAACGGCCGGGGGCGGGAGCCGCCCTGCCGTGCGCCTCCGTGGAGTTGATGCCGCCTTCGGCCCCAAGGGAAGTTTATGGGCTGGTGGCGGGCGGCGGGTCGTGCGCCGTGATTGCCGTTCTGACCGGCGGGGGCTGGCGTGTTCGCGGGAGTACGCGGCTGTTCCCCGCCCCTAGCCTGCAGGAAGGGCAGCAGGGTGGGTCTGCTTGTTCTCCGGGAGTACTTCGCGGGAAGAATAGCACGCTCGTTGTTCCTGGTGCTGTCGGCTTGCGTCGTTGTCCCCTATTCGTTAAGGTGAAGCCGGTGTTAGTTACTAGGGGCTTAAGGTCGCTTATAACCCGTGGTGAGAGCGGGTTTGTGTGCTCGGCATCACCCTCATCCCGAGCAGCTACTGCCGGGGGCACGGCGGCGCGGGGCCCCCCTGTGGTTTGGAGTGACTGCTCCTAGGAAAATGCCATCGCCGCCACCACCAGCACCACCCCGTGCTTTTTCCTGCGGAAAACAAGCAGTCAGGAGCTAAATCAGAGCAGGATTTATTTTCCTCTTTTTTCCCCCTTTATTTCTCTTTTAACTGCATGCTGTGTAGTGCGCATAGTGTCGTCTTTACAGCAGTGGAAGGTGAGGGGAAAAAAAGTGTACTGGGGCAAAAGCACGTCGAAAACCATCCTCCTGCTGTTGTATTCCCAATGTAGTAATGAGTAGTTGGCAAGGGTATTTTATTATAGGATACACTGTGTCCTTTCCCTCTTGAAGGAAGGAGGACCAAGTTAGAGGAGGTAGTCTCTGGAGGTTCATGTGATAAAAATACCAAGGAACTTGCAAGGCATGCCACCATAAAGCAGTTGTAGAGTATCTGAGAAACCTTTTTTCTGGGAGGCAGTTGAGGCACTGCTGCTGAAAGATTGTGCTCCTGCATGTAATAGTCTCCCCCCTCCGGCAATGATGTAACTTTCCGAATAGATGATTATTACTAATTTCTCAATATTAAGGAGCTGCTACCCCTCAAAGCCTAAAGGCTTGAAGACATAGTTTTCACAGGGTTGACTAACTTTTTCACTAGCAGTTTTCCCACCTCGCTTTTTGTAGGGTGTTTTCCAGCCGTTTGCAATTAAAAAGGTGAAGTTGCAGTCTTCACCATAACCTTGACAAGCTGTTTTTGCAAGCAAATGTGAAGATAATAGTAAAAATGAAGTTAAGAGCGTCTGTGTGCTGTGTCATGGGGAGGCTTACTATTTTTGTCTTAATGAGTGTAATTCAGATGTCAGTCTTCCTAGATTCCTTTTGGCACACGTGGACTTTACTGATAACGCTTCTGAGCATCTGCCAGGAGTGGGAATGTTGTGTTGAAATAATGTCCTTTTTCAAGTGCAACGTTTTGAAGTATACTGTATGGATAAAAGGGGAAACTTAAACTATTGATGACTTCAGGACTGTGAGGTAAAGATTAGAAGATGCTTTTTCATCAGTATCTTAATTTTTAGATGCTTTTTTTTTTTTTCTCCTGAAGCTTCCCCACGATTGTTTTTTCCTTCTCTGTAAACTGTCACAGGCGAGTCTGAAAGAAAAATCATGTAATATTAGTGGCTTTTAAAAGTGCTCTTAAATACATTTGGAGCGTGATCAGATGTTAATGAAACCAAAACTGCTGACCACTTTTGGTCGTTATTCTTCCTACCAGTTGGTCAGTTCTGATAATGCTAGGAAAACAAGGCACCACAAATAAACTAAAAGAGAAAATCCCAGCAAAGCAAACACCCTCCTCCGGCCAAATCCCAAACAAACAGAAAGCTAGCAAAATAGCTTCACTATAAAAACAAATCAGTTTCTGTGCAGTCATTTTGACTGACTGCTGGAAATATTTTATTTGATCTATATTTCTTCAGAGAAGTATAACAAAAAAATCCCAAACACTCAAAGCAAAAAACTGCAGAGGGAATGAAGAGGGAAAATTTATTTGGTATCTGAAATAACAGAAACTTCTGGGTTTTTTAATAAAAACAGACCTACTTTAATTATTGCTCTTCTTGGGAAAGTGAGACTGGTAGGTTAGGCTTACATGTACAAGTAATTTTACTGCTCAGTTGAACAGTGCATGATGCGATGAAGCGTGTACTAAGCTTAATATCATCATATTAGTGTAGCTTTGAACTAGGAGATGTGTGCCCCATCTATAAGGAAAATCATAACCTTTACTAAATAGCTTAGTATGCGTTGTGGTCAATACTTTCAGCTTTGCTGTACGTGAGGACATGTGCTGCGAAGTAGCTAATTCCTTGTAATTTCCGTGCCTCATTAGTTTGCACACAGTGAAAAGGGTCGTTTTTGCCAAGTTTTATGGAATGTTAAGCATGAGTTAGAAACTAAGCAGAATTGTTATGCGAGGTGAATAGAAAAATGTACAAGATGCATTTGTCAGGGACTTTGTTGCGGATTTTTTTTTCCCAATTCAAATTCTTGATTACTTTAAGCTTAGGAGAAAAGTGTGTGTGGGGCATGTGTCTTGAAATTCCCATTGCTTTTTGTTTATCTATTTATTTATTTCTTAAAGCAGCCTGGGATATTGAAGTCCAGACTGTAGTGGAGCTAGAAGAATTGGATTATGAAGAGGTGGATAATACAGGTATATAGAGTTGCATTTGCAAAAATGGCGTTGCAAATGAAAAGTAATTTTTAGCCTGAAAATCATGAATTTGTAGTCAGATAGTCTGTTCTGGTCAAGTGATAACAAAAACATGAGGTCAGACAAACCAGGTTACTACGTTAGAAATGTGAAAGTGTGGTAGTGTGTTTAAAATGACAACAATGCGGGGGTTTGCCTCCTCATTTTGTGTTTAAGGCAATGATAATAGTTCAGAAATTGATGTCTGAATATGCAGGTCTTTGGAAAATGGTATGGAGATAGGCTCACCTATTGTATTAGGTGAGCCAATACAATAGTAAGAAAAAATAGGAAAACTATACAGGTTAGTTGAGAAGTTGGAAAGAATGAAATGGTGAGCTATGTCTTAGGTAGGGCAGTATACAAAGCCGCTGCATGGAGAAACCAAATAACAAAGTAACTTCCAAGACGGGGAGAGTTAAACCTGGATTGTTAATTAGCAAAGCAGAAAAGAGAAGTCAAAAGTTTGTCAAGCTCATGCTTCAAGTTAACTCAATATAATACAGAGTGCGCTGTTCTGGAACAGCGCACCCAATAGTTCTTGGCTCGGTTTTGTTGTGGTAGGTCTGTCATGTTCAAGATGGCTGTAAAACTATGATGTTGATGTAAACATAAGATGTAGATGGCTAAGGTTTTAATAATATATATTGTATAGGCTCATAATTCTTGATTGCTGTTTAAATATTAGACAAGACAGTTTCAGTTTATCTGTAGCACTGCATGGAAGTAATGCAAGTTGGAGTTGCTCTGAAAGCAGTTGGTATGAAAGTGGGGATGGGATGAAAGCAGGTTGCAGGAATCAAATTATAGGTTGAATGGAAAGCAAGGGTGCCAGTTAGCACTTTGACTTCTGGTGTGCAAGAACTCCTGTGTGTATATGTGTCAAAGTATAATGTTGAGTTAATATCTGAATGCTTGGAGTATTAGAAAAGAATGGTGGTGATTTAGCCACTTAGGCTACATAAAGGTTGACCAGTTTGTATTGATTTGAGCCATGTGTTTCTCTCTTGCCTCCTTAAGTAACTTTGTCATGGAATATAAAGACTGATACTGGAAAGAAAAAAAAAAGGCTCTAGCATGATTAATTTCTTGTAAGATTACAGTTAAGTATCCTGTTTAGAAATACAGTCAAATCTAGGTTGGATTTTTCAATAAAAATTTAGAAATATAGTAAAATCCATCCCCTTTATGTAGTATCTCTCCTAGGATAATCTTGGGGAAACAAAGGACTGTTCTGTAGCAGGAGAAGCTAATATCTGTTGCCTTTACTGAGCATGTGTACCAGCTGATTGCCTTTCAGGTGCTGGTGGTAGAGCTTTTAAGGTATGTAAAATCACAGGTGTAAATGCATCTGCTATGAAAAAGGGAGGAGGAGCATGTTGCTTCAGTAAGCTGTGTGTGGGGTTAATGAATAGCATTTTTGTGGAGCTCAAAGAAGAATTGAGTTAGAAGCTCTAGAACTGAACATGTAAATCTCAAGTTTTAGAAACAAAATCAGTAGTGAATGTAAGTAGGGTAAGGGATACAAAACCTGGTATACAAACTGGTAGAAGGTCATCTTGCAAAGTGCCAAATACTTGTAATGCTGTTAGTAAATGTCCTTTTTTTTAGTGTTGGTTCAGTTATCTGTTGAAGAGCAATAAACTTGATGAGTATCACTTCCCAATATGTGGTGTACCAGTTGCAGTGGAGGTAGCTTGACCCGCTGTCCTGTAATTGAATGCAACTTTGTCCAGAGTTCTTTATCGGAATTTATGGCTACAGACTAGTTAGGTGAGTCTGAAAAGAAGTGAGAGTGCTGAGATTGCTTGTGTTGTCTGGCTGCTCTGGAGTCCTGATACATTGCCCCTTAAAGGTGAGCTGCGTGATGATGGATGACTTGGCTCTAGCACTGTTTGTACTTGGGCTTCTTGTCTCCAGCTTTGAATGA